TCCAACAAGGACCGTGGAAAGGAAGTCCAGTATGGACCATGAAAAGAAGGTCCAACAGGGACCGATAAAAGGAAGGGAATGGAGGACCAAAACAGAAGTTATAAAAGGGAGCTCAAATCTCATGTATCTAGTCCTTTTTTACTTGCACTCAATTCATTCATCCAATACAACTCGTTACTAAGATACTTACTCTGGGGGTCAGTAAGACTTCTTACTACTAGTGGTATACTTCAGTATAGCTCTAGTAGGCGTTGCCTCTGACCTAGTCGTTGTTGCTATTTCTATCTTGGAGAAACCTCACTTGTTGTGTATCCCTGCAAGACCCCTATCATACCTGCAAGAAGGTCGTTCGAGGAAGAGCCCTTCGCCAGTTAGGCCGTTGTCTCAAGGAGAGGAGACCCAGGTCAGTCCGACCGTCGTGTGCTCGTGAACGACATAGAGTCAGGAAGACTCCTTGATCCTTCCCTAACCACCACTGTTAAGTATCGACGACTACGGTTGGACCCAGCGCGTAACACTTGCACAGACTGCTGAGTCTGGGGTGGTGGCTGCTGGTTGCAGTTTGGGGTCAACATGGTTACTGATAGTACTTGATCATTCAGTAACCAGGGTCAAGACGGCGCTCAATTTGTTACGCACTGGGTCCAACTGTAGTCGTCGATACTTAACAATGGTGGTTTAGGGAAGGATCAAGGAGTCTCTCTGACTCTATGTCGTTCACAAGCTCGCGATGGTCTAACTGACCCAGGTCTCTTCTCCTTGAGACAACAGCCTAACTGGTAAAGGGCTCTTCCTCTAATGACCTCTCTCACAAGTATAAAAGGGGTCTCACAGGGACACACAACAGTAGGGGTTCTCTAAAGCAATAATAACAACAACAACTAGGTCAGAGGCAACGCCTACTAGAGCTATACCGAAGTATACCACTAGCAGTAAGAAGTCTTACTGACCCCCAAGTAAGTATCTTAGTAACAATGACTTAGATGAATGAATTGAGCACGAGTAGAGAAAGACTAGATACATGACCAGAAACCTTCTTCCTTTTATAACCTTGACATCATACCTTGTCATCATACCTTCCACTTGGTATACATACTCCTTTGGTAGATCATACCATCATACCAGTCCATGCTTCTTGGTATTCTGGTATACTGATCACGTGATCGTGTGCTTTCCCTGTTGTTGCCTTGCGGGGTTTTCTGTTTCATCCTGCATTGCTGTGTTGGACAGCGTCATTTCTTGTTGGTCCATAACAGTTATCCAAAAGGGGGTTAAACGAGTGGCAGTAGGCACTTGCTAACCTCAGCGAGCAAAGATATATAATTTGAGCTGTATGTACAATGATCTCCGCACCAAAGTTAGCTAACGCCATCTATTTTATTTTATTTAATTTTCCGTTTTTGGAAACCCAGACGAGCCATTGGTCAAGACCATAGTTATCTGAATTCTCACGACATTTGCGATCCCATCGTGGCATCAGATCGTCGGAACAAGATCCGTTTATGCATATGCATGGCCCGGATTGGGGCGATCCGAAGCCAACGCCATGTAACGGTGTGGACCTTCAGAAATGGACCAATCACAGGCTCTTCTATACGCAAAAAGACCTCGGATACGACACTAGCTGCCCAGGTATATATACAGAAGGCAGGCGATCGATGGAACTTGCTTTTCGTTTCCGATGGTTATGAAGAAACATAAGGATCTGATTTCCGGCACCAATATGGCCGGGTCGAAAGGTTGCACAATCACTCCGCTATTTAAGGGTCCCATGTGTCCTATTATTTTGCGAATACAAGGACCTCAAGTCTGCTCGTGGTTTTCTTCCGAAAATACGCTCCGGACGTTATTAAATGGAACCAATGCCATCCGCCGACCAAGATATTCAACTTGAGAAAGGCTCTTCTCCTGGTTATGGTGATTCATTTCCGGGAACAGATACTCAGAATGGCGCCAACAAAATATCTCCAATCCACGACTCGGTAGTCATCGTCGATTGGGATGGCGACGATGATCCCGAACGGCCACTGAACTGGACGTTGCGCAAGAAGGCTCCAAACATTGTCATGGTCGCCGTGATGACATTCTTGACGTGAGGACGACAGACACAACCGTCTCGGAACAAATAAACTGATCCAATTTCATTATAGGCCGCTGGCATCGTCCATGTTCGCCCCTGGAATCACCGAAGTCATGCAGGATTTCCACTCCGGCAACACTGTTCTTGGATCTTTCGTGGTTTCGATCTACATCCTGGGCTTTGGATTCGGCCCCCCCGTCGTGGCACCGCTCTCTGAACTGTACGGTCGGCTTCCCGTATACCGCCTGTGTAGCGTTCTCTTCGTGATCTTCATGGTCGCGTGCGCCCTGGCGAAAAACATCGGCATGCTCGTCGGCTTCCGTTTGCTAGCAGGCCTGGCGGGCAGTTGCCCAGTCACAATTGGAGCGGGAACGATCGCCGACTTGATTTCGCCGGAAAGAAGAGGAGGCGTGATGGCCATTTGGGCCATGGGTCCGCTGCTGGGTCCAGTCGTTGGACCTGTCGCAGGAGGTTTCTTCTCGCAGGCTGAAGGCTGGAGGTGGACATTTTGGCTGCTTGCGATATTTGTACTGTCCCTGACGTTTGTTTTTCACCCAGACAAATTCCCGCTGACAATCCGTAGGGTGGTGTGGTGACAGCGCTGTCGATGTTCGTAATGCGAGAAACCTATCCGCCTATCCTGCTTGAGCGAAAAGCAGCGAAGCTTCGAAAGGAGACAGGAAATCCCGCAATTCGGTCCGCCCTGGATACTGGTCTTCCACCGACCGAACTTTTCGCTCGTTCCATCGTACGCCCGCTCAAGCTGCTATTCCGGTCCCCAATCGTCTTCATTTTGTCACTATATTCGGCGCTCATCTACGGCGTCCTCTACCTCCTCTTCACTACCTTTCCTGCGACTTTCGAACTCCTGTATGGCTTTTCTCCAGGAACGGTGGGACTCTCTTACCTCGGACTCGGAACTGGATTCATACTTGGTTTGCTCGGCTTTGGACTTGTATCCGATGCTTGGGTGAGACGCCTGGCGGCCGGTGGTCCTAGAAAGCCGGAGTATCGCCTTCCTCCATTGGTTCTCAGCGCTGCATGCTTTCCAATCGGTCTTTTCTGGTACGGATGGGCGACACAAGAGCGAGTCCACTGGATTGTCCCTATCATAGGCTCCTCCTTCGTGGGAATTGGTCTGATATCAAGCTTTGTGAGTACACCGTGCTTTCCCTGCCAGGAGAAAAGAAATACACAAAACTGACTTGCTCGTGGTCAGATGTCCGTGAGCACCTACCTCGTGGATGCGTTCACTGTCTACTCTGCTAGCGCGTCTGCTGCCAACACCATCCTGCGTTCGTTGGGCGGCGCGTTTCTGCCCCTTGCTGGAAACCCCATGTTCTCGAAGCTTCAGCTCGGCTGGGGCTGTTCACTGTTAGGATTCATCTCGCTTCTGTTCTGCCCTGCTGGTTTGCTTCTGTATATCTATGGCGAAAGGATTCGAACGAACCCGAGATTCCAGCTCAAGTTGTAGCCAGCTCCGATAGAGGGTTTCGATAGATTTTGTTTCCCTTCACATCTTCCCTCTTGGATATATTGTTTGTACGGCTTAATTGAGGCTCCGATGTGTGGTTGTCACTTCCCAATCAAAAGGTCGAGAGAGGAAATAGAGAATAGAATTTCAGTTCTGTCGCCTGCTCTGTCGTCACAGAATCATCGAGTTATCTATTCAAATGCCGCAGCGGCCCTTCAATCCATTTATGCCATTTTCTTTCCAACAGTGCCTGCACCCGCTTAATGACCACTTGCGCGCTTTGCTCAGACCACCACATGTGGTGAATCTGCGCCAGAAGGGAGGCATAATGTGCGAGGAGAATGAGTGCTACAGGACGATGCTGTTCGATCAATTGGATAAATGCCTCAGGCACATCAAAAAGCCATCTGAAGACGGCAATGAATGTGCGCTGAGTGTGTTGCTTCCCGGCTTGCAGCTCGCTGAGTTGCATGCTCACTTTTCGATGAGTTGATTGTAGATGAGATAGAGTCTCCGCATACACGCTCGCTTCGCCTTCCTGTAGCTCGTTGTCACTATTTTGTAGCCAGATCTCCTCGAGACTATCGATATCATCCGTCTCGGCATTCATATGTTGGTTTCCTTGCTCTTCCTCTGTTTTCGCTGTCCGATCTGGTACTAACAACTTTAATGAACCCTCTTTGAGCCAGTCAAAATGCGTTCGCAAGACGACTCGTATTCCTCGCGCCATTCGAATCCATTTGAAGTCAAAGAGATCGGTGTCGTTATAAAAATTACTAGTGTAGCTTGTTTCTCGTGTGAGTGCGATAGTGTAGATGAAAGTCAAAATGGAGAGAGCGAAGAGCGCATCGCATTGCTGACGGTCAGCCCGTGTGAGTGCATGCTGGAAAGAACTCAGGGCGATGCTCTGATGCTCCACTGCACAACTGACCAAACTTTGGATGTCTTCGGATCCCGTGAACGCAACGTGAAGAGCAGAGACGGCGAGGATCCCATGCAGGAGGAAAGTCTGCTTAAACGCTATTTGAACAACTGTTGTCCCCCAAAGCTTCTGAATTGGTCTCTGGGACGAAATCGTACGACATGTCGACATGGTGAAGTTATGTAACAAGGAAAGATCTCTAAGACTAAATTGCGGATTCTGTGAGAGAAGACCGAAGTTTGTCTTTGGGACTTCAGGTGGACTCGAAGGAGCACTGCCACTATAATTGTTTGACCACGGGATTGACGGCCTCATGGCAAGGAAACTGCACTGGCGAAGAGCTTGTTTGCAATTGTCACAGCTTGGCCGCTTCTCATCGCACTGAATTCAAATGACTTTCAGTAAGTGAATGCTATCATAGCTTTAGTGCGAGGATAAATGAACTGCAAAATTCCCTGCGAAAGCTCAAGATTGACCACAAAAGCAAAACATCATTACGGGGTTGTATTGTCAAATTTCAAACCCAGAAGAAAGTAACAAGAGAATGTGGGGTTGTAAATTGGTCCATGCAGAAGATCATGCGGTGGAAATGGCATTTCCTCGTGAGATCTCGAGGTACATGTACTGTACCTCAGATATGGGTATACCCACCTTGATATGACGTTGTTTGCACTGGGCACACCCATTTCGGGATTTTCTATGAGATCTCCTGGATGTCATGGCCTTGGAGTTAATGTCCATCCATCACATGCATATACCACACCTGTAATGAAGCTGGGAGGAGTAAAAACAAAACGGGCTGCAGAAGATGCCTTGGCTGCCTCAGGCTTCCACGCTTCTAGCCGCATTTGGCGATTTCTCTCTCGAACGGCTTAGTCAGCACTGATCGTGATTTCTCTTTGTCTTCCTGTTCGAAAGGATCAAGAAAAGAAAAATAATTAAAGAGACTTAGTCGAATTGCAGTGGTCTCATAGCTCTACGCAGATTTTCAAGTATTCGTCTCTGTTTCTGGCTTTCAATATCAATAACAAGAATGATCAGGCGCGCCAACTTAAAACAGACGATGCGGACATGATCTTGATACAAATTGAGGCATCCTAGAGTGGAGATCAAGAAGAAAATCGTTGAAAACATTCCGCGGTGTCAAGAACAGACTTGTCAAATGGGATCCATTCGATATGCATCGTGTCTTCAATCAGTTTCGATGAAAAGGAAAAAGGGGAACCCTCCCACTTCCAATCACGCCGATATCCAGCACCCTTTGTTCCCTCTGGTATGATGCCCTGGCGCTCAGGATAATGCTCTCTCAGTATATCAGCGACCGCCTGAGGAGGTCCTTGACCAGCAACGACCGGAAACCTTTTACCAGCCACCAAGTCAGGGTGCTCGACGGCAAAAAGACACACTGCAGCTACGTCGCGCACGTCTACATACGCTCCTGCTGCTATAGGTTCCGGGATGGTCTTGGTTTTGCCGGCGAAAATATCCCAGATGGTCTTGACAGTATCATTCAGCTCCTCTGGTCTCGCAATAGAGTGGATGAATGGCCCAGACACCACAGCAGGATTCACCGCCGAAGCCGTCCACGAAGGCTAATTTAGATTATGAGCAAGCATGATCCACCAGATTCTAGACGGGGTGGGAGCTCACCTTGTGCGTCTCCATGAGCTCCCACAAAGCACGCTCTGCGATAGCCTTGGAAGCATAGTATGCAATGCTTCTGGCCAACTTGGGATCCATAGTTTGAAGAATCTCTTCCGTGAGAGGGTTCCAATCGCGCTCGGTAAACACATAACCAGGAGCAACATCCCTTCGAACCATGGCGGCAATGGAAGACATAAAAACAAAGTGCGAGAAGTTTGAAGGGGCGTATTTCAGCACACTTTGAAGTATACTGATTGTTCCTCTTTTGGCCGGACCAACCATGGATTCGGGATCACCTCCATTTAACACCACGGGGCTTGCCAGATGTACCACGACCTGAACCCTGTATTATATTAGCAGCGATTTTTCAGTCGACAGTGTAATAGACACCAACCCTTTGACAGCCTCGTCGAAGGTTCCCGTTTGCTCTATGTTGGAGACTTCAACGACACGAAATCGATCTGTGTACTCGCGAAAAACGGATTGCTGAAGGAGTAATTCACCCTTCTTCTTCGAACGCACAGCACCTCGTACTGTATACCCTGCTTGGAGAAGCTTCAATGCGACATGAGCACCAATAAACCCGGTAACACCGGTCACCAGGACTGTGGTATTTTTGGCCGCCATCACGATGAAGAGGGGTTAGAACGCGCGCACATACAGACAAGAATTGTCGACTCATGTTTAGATATCGCGTCCGTCTCAAATAGTTGTATGTCCCTGCCCGTGGAAGATTCGTTGGTGGGGCTGATGGTGATTCTCCATTGTTCACTAATCATGTCCGATGCAAGATGGTAGTGATAGCGTAATCTTGATATTTGGATGGACGATCTCGGAGAAGCTTGAAGTAAGTTATTCTCGCAATTTCTACTATGTAATTATAATGAGCTAATAGGTTAATGATGCTTCTTCTGGAGTAGATGCATAGACAATAAAATATATAAATAATCTACCGGTGTTCCTTTAGCAACCACTACTACAATTCACATCGCATGTAACTTTCTCTTTCAGATTCGCAATCTTGTTGTCTATTTTTCTTTGTCGAAAATTTACATTCACAAAATGCCCTTGCTGAGATTCTATCTGTCTCCAAACCTTCTCTCTGCGGAGGAGAAGAACAGCCTTTCCCAAAAGCTGACTGAGATTTACACATCCATCGGTCTCCCAGCCTTCTATGTCAACGTGGCTTTCATTGAGATCCCCAGCGACAGCTTCTATGTTGCCGGGGAGCCAGTGAACGACTTTATTCGCATTTGCATCGAGCATATCGCGGTCAAATTCGCCTCCGAGAATCACCAGCAACGTTACATGAAGAAACTGGACTCCATTATCGCTCCGCTTTTCGAGTCAAAGGGGTTCCGATGGGAGTATCATATCAACGAGACTCCGAGAGAGCTGTGGAAAATCCAGAGCATCGTGCCTCCTCCGTGCCAGTCTCCAGCTGAGCAGAAGTGGGCACGGGAAAATCGCGTAAGTCAATATGAGTAGACTTGACATTATCTCTAAAACTTAAGTAAGTATTTTGCCATGCTACGAAAATTTCTTCTATATGAAGCTAACATGAGAACAGATACATGCTGAAGCTTTCGAGAACAGCATCGCCATTGCTTTACGAGACACTTCTTGGGCGGTATCGTCGAATTCAAGGACTTCTCTTGTCATATACAATATTCACTCCACTTAATGCGTATATCCTAGCTTTGGTTTCGTCAATTTATATACATGCTTCTTAGTTGAATTCAGCTTATTTTGCCTTTGCAATTTTGAGGTCATTTACCAAATGAAATAGATTCTCCGTATACATTTTGTCAAATGATCTCTGTAAGTACCTGACCAAAAACAGTTTATTAGATGAATACAGAGTATTTTTGTCTCATACACAGTACTAAGAACTGAAGGATAGTTGCTTGTGACGTCAGAGTTAGACCGAGGCTTGTTGGACAGTCGACATCAAGCACTCGGTTGTGATTTTATGGTTAGTATTCAAAAATTTACCGCGCTCATAGGTAAAGCAAGGTCATTATAATGTGTCGAAAACTTGCGCTTATGTGACAAATGTTATTTTAATATTTTCGTTCCTCAGCTAATTCTGAGTCTTGTGAGTTCTATATATCCTACACTACGCAAAGCCTTCAGAATGCTACCCGTAGGTGACCTTCTACCTTACGTCGACTGCGGTTTGTGTCCCTGGTACTCAGTTATTTTATGGTTACAAGTCTGATGGAGATTAATGTATTCTTACTCCTGGTTTGCATTTATCAACCTTGTCCTGTATCGATAAATACTACGGCTCCATAACATCTGTATGGAGGTCATACCTTTCTTTCTTGGGGGTGTGCGAGACGGCAATGGTAGTCCCTATCGTTCCCCGTTCCCAGACGCCACGCAGCTTGAATGCATCCTCGGTGGCGCCGTAATTCAGCAGAGCAAACAAGAAGTGCTCAACGTGACAGACTAATGAAAAGAGGTTGCTTTGGAAGGTCTCAGCTCATTGCCACAAACAAGCATGGAAAGGGGGCGCAGTCTCGGGCAATGACCGATGGGACCATGTCTTTAGCCATCTGGATGTTGCGTACACTCCTGTGACCGCTGCTTCCGGAATCACTATCCGGTGTCCGAGTCAAGCTTTAGAAAACGACATGAGTCTGTCAGTCTGGATGCGTGCCACCATGGATAGAAATTTGGGAATTCCATTTGCTAAGATCTCCACAGTGAGCTAGAGTACATCCAATAGGATCAAAGCCTGCGATGGAATTCTAAATATAATTTAGAATGCGTGCGTGCTTTTTTGATTACTGATCTGAATTGTTTTGCTGATTATTAATCAACCCCTGATAACGTAATCGGACACCGAGCGGGCCAGGACACCGAGCGGGCCACGTAACCAACCAACGCGACATATTCATCAACTTCAACTACAAATATGCCACCAAAACAAGCAAAACAAGCGGATTCAGCAGTTCAGCAAGAGGGCCGTATTTTGCTTGCCATCAAAGCAATTTAATTAGGTCAAATAAAAAGCATTCGAGCGGCTGCGAAAGCATATAATGTGAAGCGATCTACATTGACCTACCGCGTACGTGGGCGTTCTGCACGTGTTGATGCAGAGCCTAATAGTCGAAAGCTCACTGCAACTGAAGAATCTACACTTATAAAATGGATCTTATCCATGGACCAACGGGGCCTACCACCAAGAATCAGCACTGTACGAGATATGGCCAGTCTCCTACTATCAAGCCGATTGAAATCCCCAAGCCCTCTTAGCGAGAAATGGGTGCAACGATTTGTCAACCGCCACAATGAGCTCAAATCAAAATACAGCCGCAGATATGATCATCAACGGGCTCTATGTGAGGATCCAAAGGTTATCAGGGAGTGGTTTCGGCGTGTTCTTGAGGTTGTACAGCAATATGGCATCACTGAACAGGATATCTACAACTTTGATGAGACTGGCTTTTCAATGGGATTGATAGCAACTGCAAAGGTTGTTACTGGCTCTGAGATGAGGGGCCGGCCTAGAGCAATTCAACCAGGGAATCGAGAATGGGTGACTGTGATTGAAGGAGTCAATTCAGCTGGCTGGGCCCTGCCCCCAATGATTATCTTTGCAGCCCAGAATCACCAATCTAATTGGTATACAGAACTACCAAAGGGCTGGACAATTGGGACCAGTAAAAACGGCTGGACCACTGATGAGCTTGGGATGTGTTGGCTGAAGGATGTTTTTAATAAACATACCAAAGCCTGTACAGCAGGGAGATATCGCCTGCTAATTCTTGATGGCCATAGCAGCCATGCATCTGCTGAATTTGATCAATTCTGCACTGAGAATATGATCATTCCTCTATATCTTCCACCACATTCATCACATCTATTACAGCCGCTTGATATTGCCTGCTTTGGGCCATTGAAACGCGCATATGGGCAGGAAACACAGATCTATATGCAGCACGGCATCAATCATATTGACAAGGAAGATTTCATTGCAATCTACCAGCAAGTGCGCCCGCATGCACTGACAGCATTTAATATATGCAGTGGATTTGCTGCAGGAGGCCTGGTTCCATATAAACCAGAGCAGGTGCTTGACCAGCTTCATATTCAGTTGAAAACACCTACTCCGCCAGGCACATCTCATAGCAATCAATCATCTAGCTGGACCGCTGAGACACCAAAGAATGCTAGGGAGCTGGAGAAGCAGGCAAAGCTTATTAAGAACCTCTGGCAACAGCGTACACACAGTCCTCCTAGCCCAATCAGTGAAGCAGTTGATCAAGTGGTCAAGG